TTTAAAAATGTTTATATATGCAGCAAAAAGGGCAGAAATCCTAAGTGTACAGCTTGACGAATTTTCACAAGACAATCTACCCATGTAGGCAGCACCCTGAATAAACACAGAACCTTACCAGCGCCCTTCAAATGTTCCTGCTCCCCCTTCCAGACACCATCACCTCCCCAAGTGTAACCGCTATCACTGTGGTTCTCAATCACAGTGATTTTGCTCACACACCCTCAGGATACATCTGGCAACCTCTGGAGACATTTCCAGTTGTCACACTGGGAGAAGAGGGGCACTCTGGCCTCCAGTGATTAGAACCCGGGGGCTACAACACATAGGGCGGCCCCTCCCCCATATCCTGGCCAATATAGTATTATTTGTCCAGAATTACAATGTGTCAAGACTGAGAAACCTCAATCTACAGTATCATCGTTTTGTGTCCACAAGAGATCATGTACAAGAACGTTCAGGGCACCTGGGAGGCTCCGTTGGTTAAGTGTCTGACTTCCGCTCAGGTCGCAATCTTGGTTTCCCAAGATCAGGCTCCACGTTGGCCTTCCTGCTTCTCCCTTACCTTCTCCCTCTGTCCCTCCCCCCACAGGTGCGTGCTCTTTCTCTCTCAAATAAGTAAAATCTTTAAAAAAATGTTCACAAAACTTTATAATTAAAACATCCAGGAACAATCCAAATGTCTCCCAGCAGGAGGATGGATAAACAAATTGTAGTATATTAGCAGGACATAGCAGTGTCTGAAAGACGTATCAGTCTCTCAAAATATTGAGGAAAGCCAGACCAACAAAACCAACAAAAAAGCCCACCATGCTTGTTCCCACATAGAAGAAAAAACAACAAAGTGGTCTTCTCTGAGGCTGGAGGTATGAGAGCGACGGGATTGTATTCGTTACATGGGAGAAATCAATGGCCGACATACGTGAAACCCATGTAGAAGCCGCCCTACCCGAGCAGGTCCTGCGGTCAGAGGGCTCTCAAGAACTGCCACTCACTATGAAAGTGCCTTTTAAGTCTCCCAGTGTTGCCTCACGCAAAGGCCCCCAATCCACTCCAGCACCATAATGCATCAAACTCTTTCACGTCCTGTCAGGAGAGTATGGAAACAGATTTGTCATGTCACTAGACATCCCATATATTACAGTACATGTCTATACCAGTCACTCCAGAAACTGTAGTGACCTCTCCTTATTTAATCCATGTCGATATTTTGATAATCCACAAGCCTGATCTACTCTCGTGGGATGGGAAGTCCTAGGGAATTCTTGTATTGGTCAGGAGTGTCACTCATATTTTCCCTATTATCCCTCCCCAAGTCAAAGTCTGGGCATTATTATAACTAGATTCCGGATCCCAGCTGGGCAAACGATGAGATGGACTAGGAGAGATGGGGCTCCTCCATGAGGACCAGTTACACACTGCGGCAGAAAGCTCTTCAGGCCCTCTGAATATTGACAGATGTACTTTTTCCAGTAATAATGATCTCAGTCTTTGTCCCTGAATGCTCTCAACATCACACAAGCCACCAGGCATAGGGAATCTGAATTACTAGTGCAGATAGGACCACTGTCTGAACGTGACTGACAGTAATCAGTCCTAAGGCATACAGCAATAGAACCTTCCAACAGATCTGCATAAAAACTGGAGGTCAAGTCAATGAATTCAGAAAGGCCTTCCATTCATTTAGTCATCTATTTGATAAATATCTACTAATAACCTACAATGCCTAAGGCACCTAAGGACTTGGGAAAATGCTTGTCCTCATGGAGATTACATTCTGACACCAAGAGATACACAAACAAATATTAAATGGTTTAATGAGTAAAATAAGTGTTAGAAAAATAATGCAGGAAGGGAAGCAGGACACACTTCTTGACAGAGTTGGATGTAACATCTAACTTTTACTGGGAGAGTAAAACTCAGGTCTTGACTTTCATAAGCCCAGTGAGTTTGCAGACCTTTCCCCTGACTTGAATGTATTGACTCAATTTGTCCTTGAAATCACCTGTTCATTTTTATTTTTAAAGATTTATTTATGTATTTATTTGACAGAGATCACAAGTACGCAGAGAGGCAGGCAGAGAGAAAGGGGGAAGCAGGCTCCCTGCTGAGCAGAGAGCCCAATGCGTGGGCTCGATCCCGGAACCCTGGGATCATGACCTGAGCCGAAGGCAGAAGCTTTAACCCACTGAGACACCCAGGCACCCCCTCATTCCCTTCTTGATGTTAACACTAATCAATGTTCATTTTCTTGTACCACTTTGCACACTATACTGTATAGAACTGTACACGCAATTTGAACTCTGTAAAATCTAATTCTCTGTCCTTTGCAAAAAATTTAAATTAGGTTACCACTTGAATTTTTTTTTTTTAGATTTTATTTATTGGAGAGAGTGAGCACGAGTGCAGTGAGGCAGAAGGGGAGAGAGAGAGTAAACCCAAGCAGACACCGCGCTGAATGTGGAGCCTGATGCGGGACCGGATCTCAGGACCCTGAGATCAGACCTGAGCCAAAACCAAGAGTCAGATGCACTGCAGATGCACTGCACCACCAGGTGTCCTACCACTTTGCATTTCGAGTCCTGTCATTAAGAAAAAGTAAGGCAACGTCATGATACTGAACTGATGAGGCTGAGGGTGTTACGTAGGAACTTGCTTATCTATTTTCATGGCACCTGAGGCAACGTCTGAGAAAGGTCTGAGGAGGAAAGTCAGCACTAGACCACAAGACGTGCTGGGTTTCACCTGGGCCTCACTTACAGTCGTCTGAGGCCCCATGGATTTAGAATGTACCCATCCCTGCGAACTCTCACTGCAGAAATACTGCTATTAGTACAGCACTTAGAGTAGCATAAGGGCCTGGAAGAATCCTTAGTGCACATGGGCACGCGTTTGGAAGTCCGCTCTAAGAACTCTACTCCGGAGGCAGGCTTGTAAGTGGGACCATGTGGGAGGCCACCATAAGGCTTGAGACGAGGACCAAACCAGGCCCTGACTTGTGCCTCCTTTAAAGGCTGAATGGCTGAACAAAAGGTTTAGGTCGATGAAGTCGAGTAGCCCTGAGAAAGGGTCTGGGCTAGGTGTTGTGAGCTCGCCTACGTGACTTCCCACGTTTTTGCTAGTCAGATAGAGGCGATTTGGCCGGGGTCAGAAATTCTTGGCTGGTCCTTGCTGCCCTTGCACAGGCCATAGACTACACCATTGTAAGACTGTGCTGTGCTTACATAAACTATGTCTTGAGTGGCCTTGAAGTTAGTATATCTGGCGCTAGAGGGTCTGCTATTGGTGCTTGGGAGATAGATAATGGGAAAGCTTGAAGGGTTTTCTGTGCAGGTTGCAAGCTCTTTCGTAATCAGTTAAAAATAGATACCTTTTTGTAGTTGTTTCTGTTAGCCATATAATGCCTTGCTGCCTTGAATAAACTCAGCACTATTGGACATCCTCCTTGGTGCTCCTCCTGCCCCCATCTCTTTGTCTCTTAATTTCTTTTCACCATCCTCTTACCCTCACGTTCCTGATCGATTTGTCACGCTGGCCGCGACAGGATCAGAAGTCATGGAGATCATCAGTGCGTGTCCTGCAACAGCAAAAACTGAGCACCAAGCAACCCAGGTGTTCACCAACAGAGGAATGGGGACAACAGCTGGCCCATGTGCACAGGGTGGTTATGCTGTGGAGGAGGAGAACCTCGTTTAATGTAGACGTAAATCTCAAAATCAGTCTGAGATGAGAGTCATGAAGACTCCAGAGTGCGATTCACTTTCAAGTTCAAAACCAGAACATTTCATTTAGGATTCCATCAACGTGAGAAAACAACGAAAAGCCATAGAACGATAACCTAACTCTGCAAATTATTTACCTGAGGTACTGAGGATAATAGAGACATGGCTTTTCAAGGACACTGGTGGCCTCTGAGGTACTGGCAATATTCTTCTTGTTAGCTTGGTTGGTGAGTTCATTCACTCTTCTCTAAAACAATACATGTAATTTACAAATGTTGTCACATACGCAGTTGAGAGAAATTCAAGGAAAAAAAGCCATGTGTGTTCAGTTTAGGAATATTTATCCCTACCATCTCTGTGACTCCTCTTACAGCCGGCCCTGGGGATGCTCTTGTGTCAGCCTCCGCCTCGCTCTATTCTTGCTCTGGGGCCATAAAAACAGTGACAAGATCTCTAAAACTCAGCGACTGTAGGATGTGTGGGAGAAAATTCAGGTGACACCATGGTCGGGTAATCCAAACCTACATCTGGAACCATGTCTGGGCACCATTTTTAGGAAGCAAAGCATCAAGTAGTAGCTGCTGGTTCTTCCATGTTGTATGAGGTCTAATGTTCTCCATTTGAGGGGGGCGCTCCAATGTGGCTGAATGAGGTAGGATACAGCGTCTTTCCTGTTAGGACAGAAGCAAAAGCCAAGAGATCTCCCTGCCTACTCTTTGGCAGTTAGGGCACAAGCACTGTGATCTTGGCTTCAAAGTACTTAACGAGACGTGACAGAGACTGAGGACCAGTGCAGTTTCATTTGTAGAGCACTACTGCTCACTACTGAGGGCACCGTGAAGGCCTCGTGTGGGAGGAGGCGGCCAGAGCTGGCCAGGTCATGGGGTAGAGGTCTCACTTTCCACTCTTTTTTTTTAAATTTATTTATTTGACAGAGAAAGATCACAGGTAGGCAGAGAGGCAGGCAGAGAGAGAGAGAGAGAGGAGGAAGCAGGTTCTCCGCTGAGCAGAGAGCCCAATGCGGGACTCCATCCCAGGACCCTGAGATCATGACCTGAGCCGAAGGCAGTGGCTTAACCCACTGAGCCACCCAGGCACCCCTCACTTTCCACTCTTAAACCAGATTTCCTTTGTCCTCTCCACTTTCACAACTGGGTTCCTTGCTATTCTGTCCATACAATGAGAACTTGGGCCATTGTATAAACTGCTTTTTAAGAGAATTGGCATCATTTCTGCTACCTGTTACCAAGATCTTAATTGATTGTTACCTAACGAGAATGTGCACACTTCCGAGTCCCGTCAGCTTTCACTAACATTCCTCGCCATGAATTCGCTGATGGCGTGTAAGCTGTGACCTGCACCTGAAGGGCTTCCCACATTCGGGGCAATCAAAGGGCTTTTCGCCAGTATGAATCCTCTTATGCTGACAAAGCGATGAGGAAGTATTAAAGGCCTTGCCGCATGTGTGGCATCCGAACGGCTTCACCCCACTATGCGTCCTATGGTGTGTGACAAGTGAAGAGTGGTTACTGAAAGTTTTCCCACACACGTGACATTCGTAAGGTCTCTCCCCTGTATGAGTCCTCCTATGAATGACGAAATGGGACCTATAGGAAAAGGCTTTGCCACATTCCTTACACTCATAGGGTTTCTCGCCAGTATGAATTCTCCTGTGAAGCGTAAGTTGCATGACACGGCAAAAGGTCTTTGTGCAGTCCTCACAGTGATACGGTTTTTCTCCAGTGTGAATTCTCTGATGCTCAATGAGGGAAGAGAGGCGTACGAAGGACTTCTTACACTTAGTACATGTGTAGGGTTTTTCTCCGGAATGAATTTTCTGATGTCTAATGAGCTGTGCACTTTGAGCGAAGGCCCTGCCACAGTCCTTACATTTGTAGGGTTTCTCCCCACTGTGAATCCTCTGGTGATCGATCAGAGCTGAGGAACGGCTAAAGGCCTTTCCACATTCACGGCACTCGTGGGACTTCTCTCTAGTATGTGTACTCTGATGCTGAGCGAGATGGGCAATCTGGCTGAAGGTCTTCTGACATTCCTTACACTCATATGGTCTCTCGCCTGTGTGAACTCTCTCGTGCTGGTTAAGGTGTGCCCTCTGATTGAAAGTTTTACTACATTCATTACATCTAAAGGGTCTCTCTCCTGTGTGGATTCTTTGATGCTGAATGAGAGTTGATCGACGGCAAAAGGATTTCCCACACTCGTGGCACCGGCAGTGCTCCTCCTTAAGGATCTTCTGAGGGACAAAAAGGTGTGTGTTGGTACAGGAAGTTTTTGCGTATTCTTCACATGTGCTGCTTGTTCGTCTCGTCACCATTTCATGTTGAAATGTTTCCTCTTTTATACTTTTCCTGAGAGATAATTCCTTGTGCTCCCACACTGATTCACTCTCTGAAAAGGAACATATAGGTATATTAATATAAGTAAACATACACACTCCCACTGTTGACAATCTCGGCTTAAAGACTCTAGTATTTAAAGATATAGATGGACAAGGATGTTGACTGTCATACTATTTGGCAAAAAGCTGGAAACAACCATTAAAAGTGTCTATTTGAGTTGACATTATGTCCAAATAGTCTGGCTCATTTATGAAACTATTAAAAATAATGAGTTTCGGCTATATTGACTGGAAGAGATAAAGCTGACTGAAACGACCAAGTCGAAGAGTAACAAGTGTAGAAAGAGATCTATTCTGTAAGAGCAAGAAATAATAAGATCCTCCCTGAGGGGTGTGTGTGTGTGTGTGTGTGTGTGTGTGTGTTGTGTGTTAGCATGGATAAAAATGTGAAGGTACACCTACTATATTATTACCATTGGTCCTCTAGGATAGCGAGAATGAAAACACAAGGAGATAATGAATTTTTTCTTTTTACAGCATGTCACTGAATACTTAACAAATAAAATAAATCCATTTTTCTAAGTTTAGAAGGTTTTTGTTGTCACATGCTCTAACTAGCCATCACTCACCCAATCCAATCATTTCAACAACGAAACACCGATGACACAAGAAAGTGCATAACCATGAGCAATTTGAGAGGCAGGGCAGGAGGTCGTGGTGGGTAGGGAGAGAAAAAGTGAAACAAGATAGGATTGGGAGGGAAACAAAACATAATAGACTCTTAATCTCATGAAATTAACTGAGGGTTACTGGGGGGTGGGGGGGTAGGGACAGGGTGGCCGGGTTATGGACATTACAGAGGGTACGTACTATGTGAATGCTATGAATTTTGTAAGACTGATGATTCACAGACCTGTACCCTGGGGCAAATAATACATTATATGTTAATTTTTAAAAAACTTAGAATATTAAAAAAAAGAAAGTACATATCCAAGCGGTACAGATAATGACTGATACAAAATTTCAGAGATACGCAGATATTTGGAGGTAGGACTTTTTAAGATTTTATTTCTTTATTAGAGAGATAGAGAGAGACCACAAGTAGGCAGAGCAGCAGGAAGAGGGAGAGGGAGAAGTAGGCTCCCCGCTGAACAGGGAGCCCGATGTGGGGCTCGATCCCAGGACCCTAGAATCACGACCTGAGCTGAAGGCAGAGGCTTAACCCACTGGGCCACGCAGGCATCCCTGGAGGTAGGACTTTTTTTTTTTTTTCTTAAGATTTTTTACTTTTTGAGAGAGAGTGAAAGAGAAAGAGCAGGAGCAGTGGGAGGGGTAGAGGGAGATGGAGAAGCAGACTCCCTGTTGAGCAGGGAGCCCAATTCAGGACTTGATCTAGGGACCTCAGGATCATGACCTGAGCTGAAGGCAGAGGCTTTAACCCACCGAGCCACCAGGTGCCCCATGACTGGTATTCTTATTAAAAAGAGATTACAGGGGCACCTGGGTGGCTCAGTGGGTTAAAGCCTCTGCCTTTGGCTCAGGTCATGATCTCAGGGTCCTGGGATCGAGCCCCGAATTGGGCTCTCTGCTCGGCAGGGAGCCTGCTTCCCCCTCTCCCTCTGCCTGCCTCTCTGCCTACTTGTGATTTCTGTCTGTCAAATAAATAAATAAAATATTTACCAAAAAAAAAAAAAAAAAGAAGAGATTACAACACTGACACACATAGAGGAAAGACCACGGGAAGACACAGGAAGGGGATGGCCAACTACAAACCAAGGAGAGAGACCTTAACAGAATCCAACCCTGCTGACACCTTGATCTCAGACTTCCAGCCCGAGGTAATAAATTTCTGTATTTACACCATCCAGTCTAGGAGGCTTTATTATGGCAGCCCAAGCAGACTGACCCAAGGGTCTTGGCCCAGCAATGACGTCAATTCTCCTGCTCTCTAACAGCATGATCTGAAGACTCTGGACTGTCCGATCACTGTGTAGAACACCGCACTGGTCCACTATATTGATGACATCACGTTCACAAGAAATGAACACCACAAAGTGGCAAGTGATCCAGGTGACCTGGTAAGACTCATGTGCTCCAGGAGGCGGCAGACAAACTGTATGAAGACTCAGGGATCTGGCACGAAGAGAAGATTTTAGGGATCCTGTGCAGAGGGAGAGGGAGCCTGACTCGGGCCTTGATCTCAGGATCTGGGATCATGACCTGAGCCAAAGGCAGACGCTTCACTGACTGAGCCACCCAGGTGCCCCCCGCCCCAAATTCGGATGTTGAAATCCTAATTCTCAGTGGGGCAGTATTTGGAGGTGGGCCTTCGGGAGGTGATCAGGTCATCAGGGTGGATCCCTCATGAATGAGATCAGTGCCCTTGTAAAAGACTCCAGAGAGTTCCCTCTCCCTTTCCTTCACGTGAGGACACAGTCAGAAGATGGATGTCTGTGAACTAGGAGGCAGGACCTCACCCAACAATGAATCTACCAGTGCCTTGATCGTCCACTTCCCAGCCTCCAGAACTATGAGAAGCAAATGCTCGTTGAGGTATCTGGGTAGCACAGTTAGTTAAGCATCAGACTCTTGGTTTTGGCTCAGGTCGTGATCTCAGCATCATGAAACTGAGCCCCACATCAGGCTCTTTGCTTAGAGGAGAGTCTGCTTAAGAATCTCTCTCCGTGGGGCGCCTGGGTGGCTCAGCGGGTTAAAGCCTCTGCCTTCAGCTCAGGTCGTGATCCCAGGGTCCTGGGATAGAGCCCCGCATCGGGCTTTCTGCTCAGCGGGGAGCCTGCTTCCCCTGCCGCCTCTCTGCCTGCCTCTCTGCCTACTTGTGATCTCCGTCTGTCAAATAAATAAATACAATAAACTCTTAAAAAAAAAACAAAAAAAGAGGGACGCCTGGGTGGCTCAGTTGGTTAAGCAGCTGCCTTCGGCTCAGGTCATGATCCCAGCGTCTTGGGATCGAGTCCCGCATCGGGCTCCTTGCTCGGCGGGGAGCCTGCTTCTCCCTCTGCCTCTGCCTGCCATTCTGTCTGCCTGTGCTTGCTCTCTCTCCCTCTCTCTCTCTGACAAATAAATAAAATCTTTAAAAAAAAAAAAAAAAAAAAAAAAAAAACAAAAAAAGAATCTCTCTCCCTCTCCCACTGCCCCTTCCCACCACACTTGGGCACGCTCTCTCTTTCTCTAAAATAAATAAATAAGTCTTTTAAAAACAAGAGAGAAGCAAGTGCTTGCTCAATCTGTGGCATTTCTGTTAAAGCAGCTCAAACAGACTAAGGAAGACATCAAATGCTTATGTTTACGTGGGCCAAAGCTGCCAACACTAACCAGGCAGTGTCCACATCACCAGCTCGCAGGTGGGTAGACCAGCAGCATCTTCCATGAGATGTAAGAGGTGCATTCGGGATTGGGTAAGAACAGGTCTAGAGGGTACAGGGAAGCCACACAGGTTAAGTGGCCAGATCCCCCAGACCATCTACTAGTGACATGTGAACCCTTGGCCACTCCAAAGCCTGTACAGTCATCATCCTGTTTAACATTCTCTAACCTTGGGGCACCTGGGTGACTCGGTTGTTAAGTGTCTGCCTTTGGCTCAGGTCATGATCCCGGGATCCTGGGATTGAGCTCCGCATTGGGGTCCCTGCTCCTCCCTCTCCCACTCCCCTTGCTTGTGTTCCCTCTCTGTGTGTGTGTCTCTCTCTCTCAAATAAATAAAATCTTAAAAAAAAATTCTCTAACCTTGCCTCCTACTTTGCCAAGGCGTTTAAGAACATCTTGTAATTCCCTTTATTAAATAGTAAATTCCTTGGTTGGGCTATACTCTCTTAGAGAAAACCCCCACTCTTGGCCATAATTAAAGATCGAATATGTTTATTCATGGAATAGCTTTTTTTTAAATTTCTTTAAAGATTTTATTTATTTGACAGAGAGAGAGAGGTCACAAGTAAGCAGAGAGAGGGGGAAGCAGACTCCCTGCTGAGCAGAGAGCCCGATGTGGGGCTTGATCCCAGGACCCTGAGATCATGACCTGAGCTGAAGGCAGAGGCTTAACCCACTGAGCCACCCAGGCGCCCCATGTTCACCAAATAGCTCTTGGATGGATACATTTATCCAGTTACTTAGAGGACAGAATGAGTATTTTTTGCATAAAGAAAACAGAAGCCCTAGGGTGCCTGGGTGGCTCAGTGGGTTAAGCCTCTGCTTTCGGCTCAGGTCATGATCTCAGGGTCCTGGGATCGAGCCCTGCATCAGGCTCTCTGCTCAGCAGGGAGCCTGCTTCCCCCTCTCTCTCTGCCTGCCTCTCTGCCTACCTGTGATCTTTCTGTCAAATAAATAAATAAAATCTTAAAAAAAAAAAAAGAAAAAAAAGAAAACAGAAGCCCTGACGAATGTTTTCAAAAGAACAGCCATATGAATGAAAAGAAAAAAAGCAGGAAGATGAGCCAGTGAGGAATCACCTGGAGAGCGAAGACAGGAAGTGGATCATTAACTGCGGGAGCGAGGGGAAACTCACTTCCATCTGGAGGCTGGAAGGAATTATTTTAAAAGACAGATGAAAGCCAGATCCACTCTGGAGCTGAACTAAAGGGCCCTCTGAAGGGAGGTGTCCAAACACCTCAAGGTTGCTGGCAGAGCAGCCAGGCCTTATGCATGTGTTGCCTCCCCCTGCTTGGTTCCCGACTCATCTGCTCATGGAGATCTTGCCTCCTTGCTTCTCATCCCCCACACCTGTTTCCCTTGCTACAGTAGGAAAACTACATCAGGCTTAGAGACAGAAATGCCTGGGCAAAGAAAAAGAGACAGCAAACGGCCATGCCATTATTACCTGAGAATTGAGCCCCGCTACCACAAGCCCTCAGGAAGAAAAGCCCTTATGAAAACGGCCAAGCAAAGTTTAAAGGTTTCCTGAAAGATGAGAACGAGAGAGTTGCCCACTTCTCACTGCTCTTTATGGGACATGGAACAAAAAAATAAAGCAAAGACCACAGTAGTTCCCCCAGAGAATTCTACTGGAAGGAAGAAGATCCACCAGAGACCAGACGCTGAGTTCAAGGCTCGATGCACTTACCCAGCCAGACCAGGTTCTGATAATTCTCCGACATCACCGCCGTGTACAATTTTCTCTGAGCAGGGTTCAGGAATCGCCATTCTTCTTGGGAAAAGTTGATGGCCACATCTTGGAACGTTACTGATCGCTGAAATTCCAAACACTTTCTTACTCACAAGGTCTTGGAGAAAAGGGCTAGATCTTGGCGGAAAGACTTGCACGTGTGGGTGTTGTGGCGTGTCCGACAGGATCCAGATCTTTTTTGGACAAGTATACGTACATACGTCTAGAGAGTAAAAACCAGCTCTTTGGATAGAAATAAGTATACTATATTTTCCACCAATATGTTAAAACTGGTTATAGGAGTTTGGATTTCTCCTTTTGTAAGAGTATTTCACAATTTTCTAGAATACTGGGAAACAGACTTCCCTAAATCTGTATGTGTGAAATAGAAAAGCTGTTCTCCAACTAGTACGGAAACAAGGGAAAATCTCACTTCTTTTTAAAATTTGCCCTTGGACATGGAATTAAAGTTTGGGGCACCTAAAAATCTGCACTATTCACAAGGCTCTCCATTTCAGTAATGACTTTATTCTTCTCATTTCCCAGCCACTTTGCTAACTCTACCTCTTTCATGGCGCATAGCTGTGTTTTAGCCCCATCTGCAATCCTGAGGACAAGTCAGTTGGACTCAAGTTCACACATACTGACAACAGTCTCACCACAGGAAAGGAAAAATGAAATCCTAACTCACCAGTGATGTGCCTTTTAGAAGTCCAGTGGTTACCTTCCCCTTCATGGAGCCCCTCTCTTGAAGACCGGAGTCCTGTGGATGCAGAGCTGAGGACAAGGGAACCAAAAAATAAAACAAAACAAAAGGCTAAACTCTGCTGCCTAGACTTGTATCCATTCCCCCCCTGTAAAACATCAAACCAGAGAAGCATGTCCAGCCACACACCTTCATAAGAGCATTACCGGTTCTTAAAGGTGTGAGAGATCCTGTTGCGATGTCTCCAACATCCACTCCTCCAAATGGCCCCTGGTAATGATGATCGAACAACACTTACTGTTCGGAGAGCTTTGCGTGTATTACCTTGATGCTCAGCTGGGGCTGAAGCAGCCATTCCTCTTTGTCTAAATGTCTCTCCCTGAGAAGGGCTGGATCCTGAGACGCCAGCTGGAGAAAGAGAAGGGAGGGATAAGAGAGCCCAGGGCTACTCCGCAGCTTCTCACATCACTGGCTTATGAATGCTTTGTTCTGAAAAACCCGCATGGTCACAAGACTTCCCAGCATGATTAAGAAGCACGGGAGAGCTGCCTGGCATCGATTCTCCTCCGTGAAACGGACCTGGACAGGACGATGAGAACTAATGAAAACGAAGCAAAACAAAAAGTTTCCAGTGAAGTAGCAATGTGGACAATTAGGATAGAGAAATAAATATCCCAGGTAAACTCAGACAGTAAGGAGAGGACATAATGGGAGGGAAAACCCCTAGTGCTAGGGTCAACAAAGATAAAATACTTAGAAGTTTAACAAAAACTGTATGACAAAAACCTACACAACCATCTTTCAAATATGCCTGAAAGACACAAAGGAGATTTCAACAACGCAAGGATTCCCCTTTTTCTTGGGCAGGAAGACCAACCCATCACAATGGTAAGTCAGCTACTGAAGACGTGAACTCTGTATTTGGCCTGTATGTCCTCAGCTAAAGGCAGAAAGAAGGCTCCATGCTCCCCAGATGATTCTGTTAGCAATCCCGATAGTCCGTGCCAACAGGCAAGGCTGGGACAAAGCAGGTAACAAGTAACATACCGTGGGTACCGGAGTCAGGTTTCCTCCTACCACGGAACCAAGTTTTAAGGACAGAAAAACAGAAATACAGAAGAAACTCCACGCTACTGTGCTGTGATGTTATCCGAGCGTGCACTGGTTTTAAACAACGTAGACAGGTTGTGAACAGAGGCACGGGTGGTTGCTGCTTCGGGATGGAGCGGAGCCTCTCCTTCCCGGCTGCTGGCTGCGTCTGCCAGAGCCTGACCGAAGCAGATGACGAATGCGCGCGTCACAGCTCTCCGGGGGACTGTATGGCCACAGAAGTTGCTGCTGAGGCTCTGGGTGAAGAATGGAAGGGTTACGTGATCCAAATCTCTGTTGGGAATGACAAGGCTTCGCCATGAAGCAGGGGTCTTGACCCTCGGCCGTACCCACTGGCCATCAAAGGGGCATTTCCACTACAGACCAAGCAGGACTGGAGAAAGAAAGAACAAATCTGTTCAGGGTTGCACTGTGGACGTCAATAAGGGTGTTCTCCACTTAGTAGAAAGAAGGGACCCTCCTGGACTCACTGACATTACCATGCCTCATCACCTGAGGCCTCAGAGAACTACTAGAATCTGCAAACTTCTCGATCTCTCTAAAGAGGACATTCACCAGCATGTTTTGAGAAAGCCCCTAAATTAAGAAAGTAAGAGACCTCGAATCAAAGCACCCAAGATTGTCTTGATACTCCATGTGTCCTGCAACGCAAATGTTGGTGCGTCGCTCTGAAGAAACAGCATACTGAGGAAAAAAGGAAGGTGCTGGAGAATATGCTAAACTTTGGCCAAAAGAATGAAAGAGGCCAAAGAAAAACACTAGGAACGAACTGCCAAGAGGCAGAGGCTGTCCTCTTGAGAGCTTCTACCTCTAAGACCTGTCAATAATGAGATTTTCTAAAAGTAACAAATAAATGAGACCAAACAGCAAATCTAAAAAAAAAAAAAAAAGATGTGCATAGGAACGTATATAGTAGGCTGTATGTTAGGATATCCCATCTGTCCCCTAATCAGGGCTAGAAACAATAACGTCCAAGCAGTAATAAACACACTCGGCCCTACTCAGCCCCACTCCTTGGTTTCTAAGTACCAGTCTCTAGGAAAGAAGGAAGGAGAAGGAAAAGGAATGGGCAGGGGGAGGGAAGGGAGAGGAAAGGAGGAGGGAAAGGGAAGGGTAGAGGGAAGGAAGGGAAGGGAAGGGAAGAAAACAAACCCCAGGATACCATGGAGATATAGACTCCAGGGCTAGATAGGCAAAGTGCAAAATGTGCCTGTATCATCTCGTTGTGCTACAAAGGAAATGCTCATAAAATAATGGGGCATGTCTAAAACACACAGGAACCAAATAGAGGGTGCTCCCCATAGCAAAACCAGGGACAGCTTGAGCAAAACAAGTAATTATGAGTACTTCCTCTCAAGATACTTGTTAATTACAGGGACTAAAATAGTAGCTTCACAATGGAGAAACCTGTCAGATATCACCTGAATCACGTTATCAAAGCAAGCATTCCCAGTTGACATCAGGTACTGCCTGACAGCTACGATGTACTTAGGAGGGCACGTGACTTCTGTGGTATTCATTTCCAAAATGAATAACCTCAATCTAATCATGAGAAAACATCAGACCTACCGAAGTTAAAGGTCCTCCTACAAAATAACTGACCTAGACTCCAGAGTGTCAAGGTCATGAAAGACAAAGACCTAAGGCACCATCATCAAATGGAGACTTGGGAGACATGCCAACTAAATGTAATGTGGATTGGATCCCAGAACAACAACAAAAAGTACAGGAGTGGGGAAACTGGCTAAATTAGAATAAGGTCAATAGATGAATGATTAGTTTTTTATCAATATTAACTTAATGTGTTCATGATGGTTATGCAAGATGTTAACTTCAGGTGCAGCTGGATAAAGGGATTGTGGGAGTTTTGTACCATTTTTACAACTCTTCTCTAAGTTCAAAATTATTTCCTAATAACTTATTTATGTATTTGAGAGAGAGAGAGAAATGAGCAAGGGAGAGGAGAAGCAGAGGGAGAGGATGAAGCAGACTCCATGCTGAGCGCAAAGTGTGCTGGCAGGGCTTGATTCCACAACCCTGAGATCATGACTAGAGCCAAAATTAAGAGTTGGACACCCAACTGACTGAGCCACCCAGGTGCCCCATCATAACAACATTTTTATTTTATTTTTTAGATTTTTTTTTATTTGACAGAGATCACAAATAGGCAGAGAGGCAGGCAGAGAGAGAGAGAGAGAGAGAGAGAGAGAGGAAAGGAAGCAGGCTCCCTGCTGAGCAGAGAGCCCGATGCGGGGCTCGATCCCAGGACCCTGGGATCATGACCTGAGCCGAAGGCAGAGGCTTTAACCCACTGAGCCACCCAGGTGCCCCATAACAACATTTTTAAAAGAGGGATGTCATGAAACACAAAGACTGAGGAAATGTCAGTCAGGTGAAAGGAGACTAAAGAGACATGACACTTTAATGCAATGTACGACACTCAATTTTCTTTTGCTATAAAAGACATCACAAGGATAATCAACCTAGGATTAAATGACAGAATTATAGCACTGTGAATTTTTTTTAAAGATTTATTTATTTATTTGACAGAGATCACAAGTAGGCAGAGAGGCAGGCAGAGAGAGAGGAAGGGAAGCAGGCTCCCCACTGAGCAGAGAGCCCGATGTGGGGCTCGATCCCAGGACCCTGGGATCATGACCTGAGCTAAAGGCAGATGCTTAACTGAATGAGACACCCAGGCGCCCCTGCATCAGTGTGAATTAACTGATTTTGATAATTTCACTGTAGTTATGTAAGGAATCCACACTGAATATTTAGGTTAAGGAGCATCACGTCAGCAACTTACTTTCAAATATAACATATGTTTCATATGTAACAAATTTCATATATAACAAATATATATATTATATATACATCATATATAATATATATTTCAAAGAAATATATATAGAGAGAAATATACGGATAAAGGGAAGGCAGTAAAAGGTTAGCATTTGAGGAATTAGAAAAAGAGGATGGGGAATTCTTTTTACTTTTATTATAACCTTTTTAAAAATTTGAAGATATGTCAAAAAGCAAAGTAATCATCATCATAATAACCTATGTAATAACCTCATTGGTAAGATTATTCAATTTTGTGATTGCCATTTGTTAAAAGCACTTTAGTTAGCTATGAAAAAAGTACAGCATAGAGAATATAGTTAATCATAACAACTTGGCATAATGAACAGACGGTAACTACCTATTATCTTGAATGTTACAGAGTTGTTTCATCATAATACTGTGTGTCACCTATACTTCAATTTTAAAATTTTAATTAATTTTTTAAAATATTTTATTTTTTTAAGATTTTATTTATTTGTTGGAGAATTCAAGAGAGCACAATCATGAGCAGTGAGATCACGACCTGAGCTGAAGGCAGACAATCAACCAACTGAGCCACCCTGGCACCCCTAAAAAAAAATATTTTAGTCAGAATTTGCTACTCTATTATTTCTACCTGGTTCTATTTCTAGAGCTCATAGATGAAAATAGTAATTTAAATTCCTTTTTACCAGAAACATACTTTCACATATCTCTGCAACTATCTTCTCCCCAGGCAAACACATAGAGATTTTTCTACCCCTTCTCATGAGACATAATTTCCAGACTCCCCACCATTCTGGCCTCCCACTAAGTATACACCCAGTTTATCAAAATCTTTCAAAAAATGCTGCTCCCAGCATCAAATTCAATCCCATGGTGCTCTAGTCATTACAGGACACAGGAGGAATACGAAGTTTGAACTGAAGACCATGCGGTAAAGGAAAAAGTAGATCCCTAGAGTCTCCCAGATGTGGTGGGAACTCCAAGCTGTGGTACCACTCCCACCTGGGGTCACTGAACTTACACTGCAAGGAAATGACTTCAGGTTCACTGGGATAAGGTCATTTTCATCTTGTCTTTTGT